TCCACTATTTTCTGGCGAAGCTAACCTTCGAATCTCAGTACATTCCTTAAAACAAACTAAAATCTGCCTGCCTCATTGATATTCCTTCCTTATTTCATATGTTAAATTCTCATAGCATATATGTATTCTTGTATGTATAGATCGTGTTTTATTTAACTTAAGTTTAACTATTAATTTGAAAACAATTCGTTTTGGGAAGATAGTTACTTACAGAACCTTGATAAATAGATTATATTTAAGCATTCGATATATGCTTCATTTTAGAATAATAATTCATTTTAAGTTCCACTTCCTCGAACAGAGGAAATTATGCTGTATATGATTTACTAGCAAGATCGTTTAGCTCGTAATAGCAAAGCTATTTATGAGTCGATTTCGTTAAATTATAGATCATTTCTCTTGTTCATATTGCATCTGCGTATTGCATAGAATCTATAATTTCTGGCATTTCCTCAAGCATAATATTATATTTTGTTTATCCATATGACGCTCTTAGTCTTTATCGGATTGGTGAGTCTAGCTTCATCGACATGTCATTTGGAAGTGTTTACAATAAATTTAAGCTGGTAAGCATGCGACCATATTTATGATTTCCGTTATTAATTGTATTAGCCGATCTGTTTATCGTTTCGGCCCACAGGATTTTGTATCATTTGTGTAAGATTTAATTTTCGCATTTTCTGATTGAACGTTAATAAATATATGCAATAGCAATATGCAATATGCAAAGCACATTCATGAAGAAGTTAGGCGTCAACATTTGTATGTTTCCTTTATTTATTCCAATATTTTTAAGGAATCGTAATTGGTTTTGCAACCTGAACATTGTATTAATGCCAAACGGCTGCAATACAACTCGAATCAGCCAACGTCTTCTGTTGAGATTGATCTACGAATCTCTTCATCATGTACTTCCATACGAAATGAAAATCTTGACACCAATCTAATTTCAGGAGATTCTTCGAAACCCGGATTTTCTTCGTACAGATTTGGTTTCATCAGATTAACTCGGATCATCACGGCTTAAAAGCAGTCATGCAAATGCTAGTAAGGACTTGTCGTGGGCTATGAAAAATAGCGCCTTGAGTAAAACGTATACTGCGACTGAGATCGAGTTAAATCAGTCACGCAGCATAGGAGATCCAAGTCGGATCAGATAGTCAGGGAAATCTAAAGGTGGTGCAAGGATAAACAAGCTTATATGATAACGTCCGACTAGACTCGCCAAAAAGGGCGCTTCTAGAGGACTGGATCATAGACAAGCCAGAAGTTGTGATAAGGAGTAGGTAGATGTGACGTCACAGGATTGATAAAGCAACCTTTTGGCAGAAAGTTTGTCAGGGGAGTGACTTCATTTCTCTCTTTGACGAGTTGTAGCTTGGTAGTAAGATTGATAAGACTTACTGGCGATGCTGATAGTACAGTGTCGGCGAAACGTCAAGGAATATAATGGGTCCATGTTCAATGCTGAGAACTATTATAGCAGAGGACTTCGGACAAA